TAATTGACACATTGATGTAACTGTAATTTTTAATTATTATTTACATTTTTTATTATTTTTTCTCTGACTACATCTGTAATTATGTTCATCGAGAGAAAAATCGAAAGAGTTCTCGATTTGAACAAAGTAAATTATCTTTTTTATTATTAACTAAAAAGAGTTGATAAATCTACACGGCCTTGACGAAAATTCATGACGCAGAATTAAAATAAAGCATCTTTTTATTGAGATACCTACATTAAATTATTGTAGGGTTCAATTTAATGTATTAGAGTGAATGAATTTTTTGAATTAACTTTACCAACTACAGATAACCTCAAATAAATAAGGAAAAATTGTTGTTGCTGTCACTCACTCGCCGGGAATCGAACCCGGACTCCTGGTTCTACGCACTAGTATTTATGCCAGGAGCCCGGGTTCGCTTCCCAACAAGGAAGTGAAACAACAATTGTTTCTCATTAATTTGAAGTTATCTGTAGTGGGTTAAGTTAATTTAAAAAATTAAATGATGAATAAAAACTCCATATTATGTTGAATAATTATAAAAAGTAGACAATCCAGCTTGAAAAAATACTTCAATTGAGCTCAGTATAGTTCCTTTAAAAGCAATTCTTAAGACAGGGGTAGCGAAGATTCATCGTAGTTTTACAAAATATATTTATTTTATAATAGTCGCTAATTTTTTGGAGAACAAAAGGCGCTATGGAAGTTAATAAGAAATAGACAAGATAGGCTGGTAGGACACCTTCTCAGACATGAAGGGCTACTCAGAGACATATTCGAAGTAGAAACAGGAGTTAAGAGGAGTAGAGGTAGACCTAAATTAGGTGGAATCTTCTAGTTTATGTTCAGAATAGGAAACAGTACAGGTACGTGTCAAACCAGTCTTAGAACTGACTACCTTAAGATCATGATGATGATTATTATAATCGCCAGAGTAATTAAAACTAATGAAAAACATTTGTTCAACCATATTTTCGAAAATTACTTGTTTAAACTATGAGAGAAAATTAAATTGGATTTTAAAACAATATTGTTGTGAATATGTGAAAAATATTGCCTCTTTTATTAATGAGTTTACAGTTATGAGTTCAACAAAATGTGTATGGTGGATCTAAATCTAATGTGGAGATATATAATTTTACATGCGTCCCTCGCAGTTATGATTTATTATCAAAGTGGCCAACAAGATCATTTTGGTTGATCACCCCTGTCTTAAATAGTAATATTATTTGTTTAGTTCATTTAATAATAATCTTGTGAAATTCTCATGAGCGAAACCAATATTATACCGTAAATTTTGTGACATCTCAACAACCTTATTTTAATTAAAATACCTACTTAGGTATATTTTTGTTAATAACTAATTTTGTGGCATAGAGAAAGATAATGCTAATATTAGCAGTCTTTTGTTTGTAACAAACAACATAGAAGATTGAATTTTCTGCTAAGTTAGACAACATGAGAAGCTAAATAAGTAAACAGAATTTAATCTTCCTTGGGTTTCAACGTGTCATTTTTTCATGATATAGATGTTAATATCCCTACGGAGCTTTAACCGAAAGCTATCCTAAATTCTGTTTTGAAAATATTAGTGTAATTATACCGAGATTAAGAACTAATTAGCCGTCTAATTTTTAAGCTTTATTTGCACATGGTGAAATAGCCGAAATGGTTTAATGAAAACGACGTTATTGCGTTAGATATCCTCTTTGTTTATTAGCCCAGCATGTTACAAATAAATTTGCTGCATAAAACGCCTGTAATATTGTTTCGTAATTATCGTTATTCCTATTCGTTGTAATAAATGGGACTATGCTGGCTAAGCACACAAAAGCAACTTAATTAACTAGCGATAAGTGAGATATAGGAAGTATTAGCAAAATCAAAAGCAATTGATCCAATAAATCCCCATATTGTGACGTTATATTGGGTATTATTTGTCTCCATTCTAATCCAAGTAGGCATTGTATCAAATATGTGTTTATAAAAAATAGTATACCTTTTTCAGGCAAATTTTGATGTCATGTTTTGTTAAATCTGTCCATTAACCATAATTTTGCAAAATAAAATTATACAGCAGAATTCAAAGCCAGATTATGGATAAAAATAAGGATGTTGTTATAGCAACCGATGGTTCGCTTTTGATGTAGGATAGATAGTAAGCAGTAAGTGATTAGTTCTTTTTTCTTAAGAGGTGTGACAATTAAGTTACCGGAATATAGTTATAACTCCATACGTCATAACGTTGTTACGAATAGTGAACCTTTCCTTAAAGTTAGAGCTGACGCGCAAAAAAAACATGTCATCTCAACCTCCTGCCACCTGCGATCGTATATATCAGCCTTTTAAGTAATTTAGGGTATTTTTCCTATATGGTTGGTATATAGTCGGAATCTGGTCCCATTTCGTGATAAGAGAGGTCAGGGGAATCGAAAAAAATGTCATTCTAATCGCTTGGGTTTGACGGTGTAATTTACTTAAAATACTCCTCATTCTGGGAAAAATCATGGCAGAAAAAATTCATGGGCCATTTTCCTGTGCGTAAATAAACGATAAAATTAACCTTAAGTAACAGTATTTTAAGTAAATTATTCCGTCAATGCGAAGAAGTTTGGGCGATATTTTTTTTATTGCCCCCTCCTCCGCCTTTATCTCGAAATGGACCCTGTTTCTGAATATATATCTTATAAGAAACAATGTTCTAAATTACTTAAAAAGCTGATGTACGAGGCGGCAGAAGGTTGCGATGACATGGTTTTTTTTTTACTCGTCAGCACCCTAACTATTAGAACCGGTAGAAGATTGAAGTAAGGGTAGATCGTTTCGTTGCGTTTTATCTCTGTTTTTTGTAAGTAAGAATTTTAGTCGCAAAAATGAATGACTCAGATCACAAACAACGTGATTTTTAGCGAAATCAAACGAAAAATTGTCTGAAATCCTCTACGAATTGGGAAATGTGTATGGAGGTGGGCGTTTGTCTAAAACTTCTGTGTCGGCAGTGGATAGAAGTATAAAGAAAGCGGCCAACGAAAGCAAGGATGCTCAAGTCCAGGATTTACAAATTATTTAGGGAATTATCCACTGCGAGTACGTTCCTTCTGGTTAGATAGTTACCAGATGTTGGTGTTCTGAGGCGGTTGAGGACACGCATTTTTCGCGTATATCACCACTTGGAGAAATGGATTTTTCATCACGACAATGTGCCCCTGCATTTTTTGTTGATTGTTCGCGAGTATTTCGCGAAAAAGTATCCCCATGCTGCTGCATCCCCTACAGTCTAGATTTAGACTTTTTTCTCTTCCCAAAAATGAAAACGCACCTCAAGGGTACTTATCGTGACGACGTAGAAGAGATCACGGCAGCTGTGACGACAGTTTTGAACTCCATAACTCAAAAGGTTACGGAGGGTGTTTCCAGGGCTGTAAAAGGCGATGGCAACGGTATATGGGGTTAGAGGTTACTAACGTGAAGGATGATAATAAAGTATTGAGCAAAAATTAATTCCCTTGCGTTATTTACAACTCGGAACATAATTGACACATCTCGTAGATAGTCTCCATTATGGAATTGACAATTTCTTTTATTAAATAATTATTTTATTTTTATTTTNAAGAAGCCTTATACCAAAGGAGGAAAGTTGGTGTTGTTTATAACTATTATATTATTCCAGTTAGTGATATTATAAAATTAAAAAAAAATTAAGTCGGGGCAAAAATTCTACCAGAACTGGCTTAATTAATGCAAAAAAAATTCATAGACATTAACTACATTGCAAGGGTTCAAAAGCCTACCCCATCTGCATGCGATAATTTAAGAATGATAAAAGAAAGGCGATTTTGTATTGAATAAAATATAGAAAGAATATTTAATTTTACCTATTTATACGAAATTTATTACTTCAACTTATCCGCATGAATTTTAAATATGTCAAAAATACTTTCAGAATATCGAAGAAATAACAGAAAACAATAACGGTAAAGCTTGAGTTGTAAATGTAGAAATGTTTTTAAAATCCTTAATTTTCTTTTTATAAAATATTATTCTGAAGTGACGGAGAGTCGCAATCCGCAAGGATCGAGGATAATCTTTTACTAATTATTTTTAGACATCCCCAGTTTTAAAAGCTACTACATCAAGTGAATTTAGTGTCTAATCTTCTAATTGTTCTAAAGCTGTTAACTTAAATGTTATTTAAGCCAAACTATGCTTGTCAAAATTCGATTATTAAGAAATAGCTTCTTTAATAACATCCTTAAAATGTAGACATAACTAACTGAAAATAATATATATTATTAATAAATTCTTTGTTTGGTAGACAACCATTTCATCAGATTGAAAATGTTTATAACGAGTTGATTATGAGAGAGGTGATTGTATAGAGAAAACTTTTTAAACAACTCAACTAAAATTAATTATCTAAGCTAACAAGGATTTGCCAATATTTATTAAATTGGCAACAAAGAATCTAAAAAGCGATTTATCTGATACTCAAACCAAAAAAAAGAAACAAAATAATCACTCTTTACTTCATTTATTTTCAGTTAATGTTAAAAAAAATGCAATTTGTTGGAATTTTATAAAAGAAACTGATTTAGACATACACTTTCAATACAAATAAATAAACGAACACAATTCTACATCATAATTTTTTTTATGATAATTAACAGCCGCTTTATCAGCCCATTTCGAATTGAAAACTTATTTATATCAAAATAAAAAGGATAAAATAGAGTTATACTACTTGAAGAATTTTTAGGATCAGTTAAGTAATTCCAGAGAAGCAAATAAACAAGTAAAGAAATTTCACTTCTTTATAACGTTAATGTACATTATTCTGAATGCCTAATTGAAATAATTTTGAGAACTGAAAAGCTTGGGATTGATAAATAGTCTGACAGGTTTGAAAGCCTCTGAGTTCTTCAAGATATTTGTTCAGGTTTAAAAATAAAAAACATCATCCACTTTCCTTTAACATTGAAAACACGTTTTTATTTAAGTGAACTAGTTCTGTCAAGGTTTCCCAATTTTCCTCTTTTAAATGTCACTTTCGTCGAAATAACTTCCTTTGAAAATATAAATTAGTCGTAATAATTTTTTAGTTTTGAAGCAATTTTGATCATGTGCCTTTATCGAATTTGCGTCATCACTCGCTAATGAATGCCAAAGTTTTGGTAAAAGAGATGCTAAATCGAGTATTATTACACATCATGCAGATATTTCCTCCATATTCACCTACTTATTTTCTTTGAGTTATTTTCGGATGCCTTAAATTTTTAAAATTATAAACATATCTCGCTAGCTTTGAGATCATAAGTAAGAGTAGTTTGTCGGGATAATTGAGCAAAAATATCTGAAATCTAAATTTGAAAGTGACAAACAAAAAATTAAATTAATAGATATTAGTTTTGAACATACACCACAATATCCCGCTCAAATTGTATTTTTGGTTATTTCATCATACCTAATGCTTTATAATAATGATGATTCAAATCTGCCGTAAATATGGAAAGTGTGTTTTGGGAAAAAATATTTATGACATTGAATAATAACTGTTGTTTGGAAAAATGTTGTGTAAGAAATATAAATAAAATTGCCACTTATTAGTATGTTCCCTTAAAATTTATTCAGAAACTTAACAAAGCAATAAAAATTTCACAAATGAATGCAGCATACATGTGTTAGAACTATTTTAATAACAATTAATCGGTTTAGGAGTTAAAGGAAATATGAAACTAACAAAATTCAGACAAGGCGAAAATTGTCATTATTTCAGCTACAAAAGTGCAAAATCTGTTATTAGATATTTATTTTTCTAATTATTATTGTGCTTAAGTACAGATGACTAAAAACAAATGCTTTAAGATAAAAAATGCGCCCATTTCATACTCTACGAGCTACCAGTTACGGTAGTCATTTTCACAAAATTAGTTGCGTCAGGAAGCAATGCTAAGATTAGTATTTTCCAAAAAAAAAAGTGCTTTCTTAGTCACATATGTTTATTATATCTAAATAATGTCAAACACAAATATTGGTGTATTTCATAGCAGTGTGCCTTTAATTGGTGTTAATGTACTTAACAAGCCACTAATTAACACATTCGGGAGCCCTAAAGTAGCGTCTAAAATAGTCCCAGTGCTCTCCATTCATACAGCTCTTATGTCAGCCAACTGACTATTTTTAAAGTCCGATCGCGAGGTTATCAACACACCGAAGAACATCAGAGACTTACAGAAACTTCCAATTTCCGGAACGGGTGAACTTTGTCGGGGTGGTAATGGTTGCGGTTATTAAAAAATGAATTTCACTATATTTTGAGGCCGACGGCTGCTGGGCCGTTGCCGACCTTGTCACCGGCACTTGGTGGACTGTTGTCTCTCCTGTGGATGGTGTAGGGAACAACCGAGCAGCATCGGACATGCCAACTCGTTCTAGGTACTCGAAATAGGCTGGACGAATACGGGACAAAACAGATACAGTGCGACTAATAATCCAAGATCCAAGTCTATGTTTGTGGATCATTAACGGCGTTATTAAAACAGACTGTTTCACTGTTTTATAATTAAAAATAGAAAAAGGAACTAGCGTCAGTCGTAGTCGCCTACGTCTTTTTAAATTATGTATTAATGTAAGATAATCGAAATTCTTCTGTGTTGTATTAACTAATATTGCTAGGCTGATTTTTATGTCTCTTAGAAAGTTTTGTTGAGAAATGACAGGAGAGGAAGAACTCTTCCGAATATTGGAAACTATTTTCAAGTGTAATACTGTAGAATCGCGATAGTATTTAATGCTAGACCGCTGCATACTGTGAACAAACTAAACCTTCGGTTATAGAAACGTCTATTACCTATTGGAGTTTCTGTTGTGATTTTGCTGTATATCTTCGATGTATTTGGTACTTTCCTATTTGTGATAGCTGAGAAGATACTGTGTTTTAGTCATATATTCACGTTAGACAAGTCGGAAATTTAGACCATTGCTTAACATTCGAGAGAACACTGATTCGATTCCGGGCCAGTCTGCCCATGGTCCAAGTTTTTCGTTTTTTTCTTTGGATTACTTAGCGAAATGCTGAGGCAATAATAAAATATTCCACAGATAATCTTTTCCTGTCTATATTTCGACCGTTTTATCTTAATAAATAAAAATTTTGTTGCGATTGGCGAAAGAATTAGCAGAAATCAAAATTTTCTTTTTTTTAGTTTTCTTTTTCCAGATTTTGCTAAGTTAATATAACAAATCTGTTTCCATCTGTACCACCGGAGAAGTAATAAAAGTAGTTCCTATAGTATTCCTCTAAGAATTTATGATAATAACGAAGAAATTGAAAACTATGATTAATTATGTCTTTTAAATTCCCGTAATACGAAAACGCTATTATCGTATCATTATCAATAACTACAGGGATCATTGGGTTATTGCAAAGGTCGAAGGAGATAAACCATTTGGTATACAATATCTGTTAGGGAAGATCAGAAATCTTTCCCGCGCCAAAAGCAATCGTTGCGCACGAAAAATATGATAACGGCTTGACGATTCCAAGATAATAACGGATAGGAAGATCGAACAGATTTTTCTAACACTATCACATAAAGAGTTCCTCTCTCCCGAGAAAATTCCTAGCAAATACACACAAAGCCCGTGGCTCGTAAAAATTGATTGTACGAAACGTATACTATATTGGGTGTTGAAAATAAAAAGAATGGAAGAAGTTAACTGAACTGTGGGAAATAACAAACTCCAGCAAATAGAATGAAACGGTGGTCCATATACAGTGTATTTATTTAGACAGGGTATTACATTAAGAGTTGTAGAGATTGAAAAATAAATTCGCAGAAATAATTCGAAAACAAGAATTAATATCATCATCATCATCATAAGGTCATCAGTCCTAAGACTGGTTGGACACGTACCTCCACTCTTTCCTATCCTGAGCTAAACTTCGCATTTCCCTAAAACTAGAACAGCCCACATCCTTAACTATTTGCGAACAGTAATCTAATCTAGGTCTACCTCTACCCCTCCTAACTCC